CCCCCTCCCCCCACCCCGCCGGCAGCCCCGCCCTCCCGCAGAGTTGTCAGCACATTCAGAGCTGTCTCCACACATAAATTCATGGACCAGCTGTCTCTTTTAATCTGGTTGCAAGATGAAACCATTAATAGATGTCAGACACATTGGCAATGATCTCTTCATTAATTATTTCCTCCTTTCTGAGGAAAAAAAAATTAGTAACAAGCCACCATCAATAATTCAAAAATACAAGTTAACCTTTCTATTAACAGAATGGCTTCTGCACACACCACGGACTTTTCAGAGCCAGTGGTTCTGGCTTGAATAATGTTTTTATGGCGGGAACATTAGTGCTGTCTGTCAAGACACGCAATTATAAATAACCCACATGCAACTTAGAAACGATAAGTATTTTTCAAGTGTAACCTCATGAGCCAACCATTTTGCTCTGTAATAACATGCTGTATCCAGGGATAGGGCTGCGTCCACCAGCAGGACTTGACGGGGGAAGTATTTGCAGGGCGAGGCCCTCGTGGTTAGAAAGATTTCCCTCGCGGCGACCCACTGCTTCGGAGTCGGCTCCTCTCTCTGGGGACACGAAGAAGCCCGACTTTGGTGACTGGTTGGATGTCAGCAGGCTCTGGGAAGCATCCTCTGTCCCTTACACCCTTCCTGCTCCTCCTCTTAGATGATTTTCAGGCCCCCAACACCTCGTTCCACCTCTAGAACATGCTACATTTTGGGAGAGGCCTTGCACCTGCCCACACCCCCCAGGCCTCCACTTACCACCGAGGTGACCATGAACTAGTTACTCTCCCGCTCCAGATCTGTCTCCCCACCTGTGAAATCGGGGTGATTATTTCTACCTCGCTGAGCTGAGCGGGAATTAAGTGAGTTAATGGAGGTGAAAACACCTACAAGGCTTGGCCCACTCAAAAGATACTTTCTTTTCTATTCCAGGTCGTAGATTGGCCACACCACCCAGCCTTGACTCCAGGCCAACTGTCGCAGACATCTGGGTGACAACACAGCGTGGAGAGCCAGCTGCTTCGTCCGTGGGCCAGAGCACCAGCACATGGTCCAGACTATTGGCAAGTAGGCCTCCGTGCCGGAGAGGCCCTGCATGGAATGCCGGACGGCAGCTCACTTTGCCTAAGTGGGCTCTGCCAGACAGCTGTTTCTCTTAATTAAACACACACACACACACACACACACACACACACACACAATTAAGTGATGTGTGCCAGGCACCATCCATGGGTGTTTGTGTCTCTAACCTGTGCCCAGCCTCTTGCTGAGCAGTGGGGATGCCAAGACATGTGACCCCATCTCCCATCCACAGGAGCCATGCTGTGAGGTCCGCCAGCACACAGAGGCAGGGTGGTGGCAGTGTCAGGGTTTGACTACACACACACACACACACACACACACACACACACACACACACAATTAAGTGATGTGTGCCAGGCACCATCCATGGGTGTTTGTGTCTCTAACCTGTGCCCAGCCTCTTGCTGAGCAGTGGGGATGCCAAGACATGTGACCCCATCTCCCATCCACAGGAGCCATGCTGTGAGGTCCGCCAGCACACAGAGGCAGGGTGGTGGCAGTGTCAGGGTTTGACTAATGGCCTCAAACATGACTAAGATATGGCCCCAACCTGGACTTCTTGCCTCCAGGAAAGTGGTTCTCTAATGAAGCAGGAAAAAAGCCTCTGCTCTCCCAGCCGCCTGGTGCTTTGGAGGTGGACATGGGTCTTGTCAGAGCACTGAGCTCCTCTGGGACTCTCAGCCCCTCTCCTTGTCCCTGACTCCATCCCCGGATTCAGGAGGGTCCCAGGTAGGCAGGGACTCACCAACCACAGGTGGAGTGAACCCGTTGCTTCTCACATCTCCCTGCAGTGAGCTCAGCTCAAACCTCAACTCCTCTCTGCCTCCTCTCCCCAGCCACACCCTACACAGCAGTCAATGAGACCATCATTCCACAGCCTTGTCACCCACCAGCTTAAAACCCTTCGCGCATGCCCCGTGGCCCTCAGAATAAACTCCATCACTGGCTGGGCCTTGCCTGCCTTTCTGAGCCCATTCCTCCTGAATTCACCTTGAACTCCCCCCGCATGGAGCCCTCACCAGGTAGAGAAGGAAAGAAGGGCATTCTGGGAAGCTGGAACAGCTAGGCAAATGTTCACAGATGTGAGAGTCTGAGCATTCAAATAGGACACCTGGAGAGGGTGTGGTGGGCAAGTGGATGGTACTCTCCACATCAGTCCACGGGACACGCCCACTCCAGAACCACTCGGGGTGTTGGTTAGTGTCACGTGGAACTGAGTCAGAATTTCTAGAGCAGGGGTAGGCAACCTTCTTTCTGCCAAGGGCAAATTGGATATTTATCACATCATTCTCGGGCCACACAACATTACCAACGTAAAAATTAGCCTGCTGTATTTGGTCCAACATTTAATTAACTCACCCTAATGCCTTGGCAGGGTCAGACCAAATGATAAGTAAGGCCCGTGGGCCGGACAGTCCCAGCCCTGCTCTAGAGGTTGAGGCTCAGGAGTTTGAGTTTTAACTTGGACACTGGCACGTTGGTGAATGGCTGATCAGTATCAGGAACAAGGAGAGGTGAGAGCCTCCAGGGCCAATGCTGAGCCTTCTGAGGCCAGGTCTGCATCTTGGCCGAGTCTGTGTCTCTGGCACCTATAAGGGCTTAGAGCAGTGGTTCTCAACCTTCTGGCCCTTTAAATACAGTTCCTCATGTTGTGACCCAACCATAAAATTATTTTCGTTGCTACTTCATAACTGTAATGTTGCTACTGTTATGAATCATAATGTAAATATCTGATATGCAGGATGGTCTTAGGTGACCCCTGTGAAAGGGTCGTTCGACCGCCAAAGGGGTCGCGACCCACTGGTTGAGAACCGCTGGCTTAGTGTTTGAGCACTGAGCCTGGAACACATACATACGTTGTACTTTAGGCAAGATTCCTTGAGGCCATCCAACTCCAACAAGCAGTGAAAACACAGGGATCCAGTGATGCATTTAGCTCAACAGCTCATGAGCACGTTCAGGCAAAGCTGGATCCAGGGACTCAATTGCCATTCATTCTCTCTCCCCACCCACTGCTCTCCATGTCTTGGTTGTGCTTCTCTTGGTGGGTAGTCAGGGACATTGGACAATGAAAGGTCCATATATAGTTCTCACAGCTTAGCACTGTCACTAAAAGAGAGAGAGAGGCCACTTGCAACATCCTTGCCAAACTTTAGTGAAGATGCTGGCTGATTAGAGTCACATTCAATTTCCTGAGACAATCAGTTTGGCCAGGGAAGTGGTGGGGAAGACAGTGCTCTCATTGGCCAGCCTCGGTCATTGTGCACCCCTCTCTATTGGGGATGGTCACCATAACTGCCCCCCAGTGAAGCCTGATGGACGGGGGAGGAGTGTCTTCTCCACAGGATCTTGGGTAGTCAGGTGACATCTATCCACCTCACTTATGCATCAAGATGTTCATTAACCTCTTTAATGTGTGGTCTATAAACCTACCCACGCACACAAGGTCTGCCCTCTACTTACCTACCCCTCCTCTCACCCCACACCCCACTCAATCCCCATACCTACATAGATCTCCCCTTCCTCTGTGCCAAAGCCGAAGTGTTATCCTCAAAATGTTCTCCACCGGCCAGCTACTCCATCGCCAAGCCAGTGAAATAAATACTTCTTTCCCATTTCAGAGAATGGCATCTGTTTTAATTTTTTGTTACTATGCTACACAGAAAGACATTTCACCCAAACTGATAGCAGCAAGCTTCAGCCCCAGAATGCCCCTCGCCCCTCCTGGACCCGACGGGATGGTGGCGGCGGAAGTCCAAGCCAACGACATCTTTCCTTGGCTTGACAGGGCAGACTGCTCATGGTTATCCAAGCCATTCTCACGTCAAGGAAGACGTTGATAAATCATTATTTCTCTAAGCTAAAAAAAAAAAAAAAGTGCTAATACCTCAAGGCAGAATGAGAGTGAGTTTGTTGAAATGAATGTGAAGAATGGAGGGTATGATCTTGGAATGTAAAGCCACAGGAAATACCGTCTGGGAACACAGAAATCATCTGTCTTATCTGGAAGCCTGTCTCCGGAGTGGCAAGTGGAAGGACTGGTTGGAGGACAGAGTGGGCCCCGTGCTCTGGGGACGGGGCTGCAGGGCAGGGGGGCCGAGATGTTGCTTTACCCCAAAACACCATGCATCACTGGCTGCCACTGAAGCTAAAAGACTGGTTATCTTGGGGATGTTCCCCTTGGTTTTGCCTCTGCCTTCCTGACACGCTTGAACTTGAGTTTGCTGTGAAGCAGGCCTGCAGCCAGGAGCCTTATGCGTGATTCACCCTACAATTCTCTTATTATTCCCCCATTTACGGGGGGGAACAGGCACAAGGAGGTTTGGTGCCTGATGGTGTATTTAGTTTTTGCTTTCCTCTCATCATCTCCTGGACCTTTTAAAATTGTGTTAATCGTGTCTCCAAACCACACCCCAGGAATATTAGAATTAGCAGGAAACTTCAAGCGCGACCGTCTCAAACCCCTTGTCAGTTTACAGACGTTTCAATAGCACTTTCCCAGTAAACAAAAATAAGTTAAGTACCATTTACCCAGAAGCCAGATTCCCTGTACTCAGTTCTGAGCAAGGTTCTCCCCTGAGCAGGAGGACGCACAGGTGTAGTTTGGGTTGATTTTGTTTCTTTGAGGCTTTGTTTTTCAAATGTCTCAGGCCTTTCCTCCTCCGGGAGAAACTGAGATATGATCATGAAAACCGTATAGTCCCCCAAAGTCCCCACATTAACAAAGGTGACGCTCCCCAGGGCTCAGGGGCAGTCAGAGCCTCTGCTCCAGGTACCCGCCCTCGGTATGATTCTTGTTTTCTGTGTGAAGAACGTTAAGGGCCTGTGAATGTTGTAAAATATAAATGCATGGAATTTCACAACCACTCAATAATCAGGTTTCTCCATTCTGATAGGAGTGAAAAGAAAAAAATCCAGAATTGGCGAATGTTAAAAATTTCCTTGCCACTAATAATGCTTCCCCCTCCTTTCCTTATTTCCCTCTTATAACTCTTCTAACATGAATTTATTTTCTATTTGAAAGCCAATCTCACTGGTTATTAGATATTCTCCCCGCTGTTGCTATCAGTAAATTATTAAACAGCTGACCAAGCTTTGTTTTAAAATGATTCTCTTATGAAGCTCAGTGATGTATTTGCCATGAATACTGAATGGCACCGCGGTCCCTAAGGACACGTGAATGATTCCTGTTTACTACCTGTAGCAAAACGTGCGGGCTATTAGCAGTAAGAACTTGACTTGGATCATGGTCACAAACGAGGCCCGTACCTCATTTACCCGGCTCTCTCTTTACTCAATAGACTCCCGCCTGGGAGAAGCCTGTTCAGTTTCTAGCCCATGTCACGAAGTAGCATATAGACCTGCCTTTTGTCATTCCTCACCTCCTTTCTTGTCCCCCCACCCTTGAGCCTCCATATACCTGTGGGGATCCCCTCCTTATTTAAAGAAGCAGCTGCTTTTGAGTGAATTTCCCTGTAAAGAAAACAAACTTGATCCCCATCAAGTTAACCTGACCTGTTTGTGGCTCCACTTCCTCATCTGCAAAATGGAAATCAGAATTCCTACCTCCTTCGTGGAAACAGCGCTGAGCACAGTGCCTGGCAGGCAGTAAGCGCTCAGGAGCTGGTAGCTACTTTTCTGCCCATTGCCTCCTGCACAAGTCCAGACTCTCCAGGTTGTAAGTGACAGAGACCCAAAGTCACTTCAGCCAAAGAGGACACGCATTAGTTTAATCAAACATTGGTTAATCAATCAAGCTCTAACCAGGAAAACAGAAACTGCTTCGGGTATTTACAACAGGAAACTGGTTATACAGGTGATAGGGGAGCTGAGAGCCCCCAAAAGGATAGGAAGGTAACAGAAATACACACAAGCAAAAAGCCACTCTTCGCCTTAAGACAGACAAGGGCACGTGGTCATACATGGAGGCGGGATCAGGACAGCTGTATCCAGGGGGAGCAGAAACCAAGGAGGACACTTCTTTGCTGCTGGAGAGAGAGGAAGGAAGTCCCTTGCATCTCCTTTCCCCCTGCCCTTCCAGCATCCCATCAGCTCCTCCCATTGGCCAGACCCAACTGGAAGCCAGCGGAAACAGGAGTCAGGGAAAACCCAACTCCAGATTGTCTGCGTCCAGAGCATGTGCCGGTAACCACTCTAACATAATGTCTCCCTATATAACCCCATGAGCACCACCCCCACTTGAAGATACCTGGGTTATAGTCCCTCCCCAGAGGCTGTGATCAGCCCTGTCCTTGGTTCTGAGGGATGTCAGGGGCCCCAGTTGGGTGGTGGGTTCTTCATTGCATTATGATTCCTGGGAAGGTCCACCAGATGCGCTCCTGTGGAGCACCCTGCATCCAGCATGACGTTGTCAGCCTTGAGCACTGTTGGGAGTTACAACAAAGAAGTGGCGGGGCTCCAGGGACAGGATGGTACCCTTAGGGCTCAGCACCAGGCGTTGCTGGGTCAGGAAGGACTGGGAGTCACTTGAGGAAAGCAAGCCTTCACTTTGCTCCCACATGAGTGTATTTTTTTTAAAAAAAAATGTTGAAAAGTGGATGCCGAATCTGGAAACCAGGCTCCGCGAGGCCCAAGTGCAGAATCCGGGTTGAATAATCAATCTGATCTTTCAATGAACGATCCTATTCTGCAGCAGGCTCTGGAAGCAACCTGCTGTATCGTGTTGGGAAATCTAAGTCTACGAATGAGGGGGGGTTCCGTGGAGACTGTGGAGTCAAGACTGGGTGCTGTTCACCCCCAGAAGCACTGGCTCACATACCCAACCCTCCTTCCTCAGCGCCGGCGTCCCAAAGCCTCGGGTGAAAGAGCATCTTCTCTGCGGGAAAGATTTCAGTCTGTGGAATCCGTCTCTTGATAAGGCAGTAATTACTGGGGCAATTTTCACAGATACAAAGGCATTTTTAAATAATTTTAATTATTCAAAGGCCTGATTAATTATCTAGCCCCTGCATCAGAGGCCAAAGAGGGATAAAACTGTATCAAAACTGTTGCCATGCCGGGGGGCGGGGAGAATTCAGTGCCCTCTGCAGAAAGCTCCGCTCTGACTCTGCAGCTGCAGTTCTGTGCCCTGCACGGTGCTCACAGAGGGTGGGCCCTGGGCCGGGCCTCAGGAGTCCTGGGTTCCAGGCCTGTCTCCACACTGACCTCTGCATCCTTGTCTAATTCCCTTCCCCTTATCAGAACTCCATAAATCTAGTGGGGGGCAAAGAGAGCGGGGGGTACAATAGATGGCCTCTGGGACTCTGACATTCTATTGCAACATGGGACCTTTTTAAAGTATTGGAAATTTTTCTAGAACAATGAAAATCCAGGCAAAGTTCATGAGCATGGAAGGGTTTTGATCATACTTGAGGTTGAGGTTGGACGCCTCTGACTAAATTAGTGTGGGGAGAGACCTGTCAGGCAGATGGGTGTGTCCCTAAATAAATGCCTACTCTTGAATGGAAAAACGTCACCCCCATTCACTGAGCGTTTATTGAGCACCTCACATATACCTGTGGCCCTGTGTGCAGCATTGTAGAGACGCAGGCTCTGCCTTCAGGGGCTTGCTAGGGGAAGGATGCCTTGCTCAGATGGTAGTCCCACTGATGGTCTGTTTGCATGATGACATCAGAATATTCTAGAAGCAGAGATACTGTTCACTTTTACTGACATGGTAAGTCATGCTGCCAGCCTCTGTGTACACCCTCTGCCTGCAGATGCAGTGATGGGCCATCCCCTTAAGCGTGTGCCTTGTGTGGGCTGATGCTTTCCTCGGGGGGTGACTGCCTCACCTCCACATAGCTCCCTCCACTCCCCCCTCACTTCGGTCAAGGTTTAAGTGTTGGCAATCCCATAACACGTCCCAGATGTGAAATTTTCCGTCAACGTTGGGACTGCTGACAGAGACCTTCCAGTTTGTTCTCTTGGTGGTTCCTCCAGCACCCCACAGTGCCTTCCTGCTGGGCTGCCTCCTGCATGAACCCCGGAGCGGGGCTGCCTGCTTTGAGTCCTTGCTCTGTTGTCCCCTGGCAGACACATAAGCTGTCTATGCCTCAGTTTCCCTCTATGAAAAATGTCTTGTTATAAAGATTAAAGTTAGCCAGGCTGGCGGGGCTCAGTGGTTGAGCGTCGACCTATGAACCAGGAGATCACAGTTCAATTCCCGGTCAGGTCATATGCTTGGATTGCGGGCTCGATGCCCAGTAGGGGGTGTGCAGGAATCAGCCAATCAATGAGTCTCTCTCATCATTGATGTTTCTATCTCTCTCTCCCTCTCCCTTCCTCTCTGAAATCAATAAAAATATATTTTATAAAAGATTGAAGTATCTGCACATAATAGATGTAATATGGATAAATAGCTATGTTACTTTATGCAATTTTCCTCAGTTCCGTAGGATTCAGTTACTCCATATCTAAAATGGGACAATAATCTTTATGTACTTATTCAACAAATATTTACTGAGGTCCTATTAGTAGCAGTCACTGTTGTGGGAGCGTAAGATGCCACACTAAATAAAACAAGATCCCTGTTCTCATAGAGTTTGCATTGTCATGAGCAGAAGGGACAGTCAGAACACCCAAATAAATGTGTGATGTGGAAAAAACATAAAGCAAATTAATGTTGCAGTGGTGTGCGGAGTGGTCAGGAAAGGCCTTTCTGAAGTGATGACACTTGAGCAGTGACCTGAGTCAATGGAACAAGTGATCTGGAGGCAGAAAGTGAATTGAAGCCATAGGGAACAGCAGGTGCAAAGGGCCTGAGGTGGGGCCATGCATGACATGTGCAAAGGACAACTACGAGACCACCATGGGTGGAGAAGAGTTGGAGAGGAGAAGGTGGCAGGTGAGATGCCCAGG